TTTTTTTTTTTTTTTTTTTTTTCCCTTTCGCAAGGAATACGAGTGTGAACGGTATACAGAAAACCAAGTTGCGAAATCGAAATCACACAGATGTCCACGTAGTCATATCCAGGTAGAGAGTACAAAATGCACCGAGAAACCATCCATATAGAGCAGTACAATGAAGTAATGAGCCAATGTCCAAGCCCGTAGGCCACACCAACACAGAATTCAAAGTCGCTCCTCTCTGTCTGGCGCCCAGCGCCCAACCTACTCTGCCGGACTATCCTACCTACAGCTGGTTCACGCAACAGGCTCATTTCGACTCTCGAAGACCAATGTACATGACTGTCAACTCCATAGCCGACCTCTCTTCATGCACCAGGTACGTTTCTCGTCACTCTCAATCAGACCTCGATTACCCCACACAGTGCCTCCTTCCCTGAAGACCAGCAGATCACTCGCTGTACCCCCCTGGCGCCCAGCAGCCTGGCTATGGCTGCCTGCGCCCCACTTCACCTCTGCGCGCCCCGTCAGCGCCCTTGGGAGCAACGCCACATCAAGCGAGAGCGCAGCAGCACTTCCGCATTGCCAGCACTGGCCAGAATACCTGGTCTGGGCTGCCTCACTCCTTTTTTGGAAGTGGCAGCCTCCTGGATGCTGTGTGTGGCCTGGCTGGAAGCTTCCAGTAGCTTCCGGTTGGGTCGCAGACCCTGCGCCCAGGCGCGAGATTACAGTTGAGGGCCTGGGCCCTTTGCAGTTAGGCACGGCCTGAGTCTCCGGACTTGGGCTGTTTGCTGCATCTGTGCAGGGCTCCCAGGCAGGTGCGTCCGCACTGCTGCTTTTCCAAAGGCTGAAGGCCTGCTTCCCAATGTATCGACCCTGCTTTGTGTATGGATGCCCAGGCACAACTGTAGGCCTGGGCCAACTGTATGACGCAACAATGTGAGGCTCACGCATCTACCCAACCAACTGGCGTGCTGCGAGAGCCTGAATGCCCACATATGGAAATGTCGAATTTTGCCTTTGATGAATATTCAGGCCCGCCTTCACTTAGGGCGGGCACTTGGCTTGCTGAGGGCCTTAGCGATGTTTGATAGGGCCCCTTCAGGGCTTGTTCCTCACATTCCATCCCCCTTAGCTTCGAAAGTCCGCTGAGATGCTTCATGCTGGTGCCTTCCCCTTCAGTTTCTTCTCATAATCTGACACGATCTGTCTTGGTGTGTTCTTATTTGGTGAAACTCGTGATGCAATTCTGCTGTTGGTTCGAGGTCACGACTATCTGGTCTTATGTGTATGATGCTGTTTGATTGCTGAAGTTCGCTATTGCTCATCTTTCTTGCAAGATGCGAGGATAAGGTTCCTTGGCAGGCCTAAGGGCCCCCTGATTCAAGTGTGGCCGCCCTAAGTGAAGGGGGGCGTAGGTACTCTTTCTCTCTCGCGCGCGCGCATGGGAGTGTGCGCACGCAATTTTTCCCGTTTCTTTTATTCTGTTCTTTTTATTTGTCCGAATGGAGAACGGATCAGTCATGAAACTGATCGAAAGATATGAAACTCATCGGGACAGATAATAGACTTGATGGTGGTGGGCGGAGGAGGGGGCCATGGTTAGTGTTCTCTCTCTCTCTCTCTCTCTCTCTCTCTCTCTCTCTCTCTCTCTCTCACTGTTGTTTTCCGTTTCTTTCTTTTTGGGTCCCGATGGACCACAGATCAGATATGAAATTGATTGGTGCAGATAATACACTTGACAGCAGGGTGTAGGTTCTCTCTCTCTCTCTCACACACACACACACACACACACACACACACACACACATATATATATAGTAATGAGGAATGCCGAAAGAAGGCTCTGGCCGACACATTGGATTATGCCAACACTGCTCCACACTTTGGTGGGAAACTTACCTTCCCTACCCTGAGCGTACTTGATCCCACGAAATGTGTGTTTGCTAACCCTGTTGTCATGCAAAAAATGATTTCATCATCCCTCAGCCTGGACATGAGGAACCTTCGCAGAGTGTGGAACGTAGGCCGCCCTTTTTTGAAATGCAGATGCGGATACAGGAACTCCCGCACTTGTAATGGTGGGCCTATCTGGTTTGATCAGGCCATCTGGTATCTCACGGCGAAACCGGAGATCGTGAAACCTGAAGCGGGCTCGAATCGTGTTAGGATTGCTTTCGTCCTCCACCATCTACGCAATTCCTGGAGAGAGCTAGCCAAAGCCTCAGTCATGTTCATTTGGATGCGTGAGATGATGCTCACCGTCTTACGCAATCTTGAACGAAATCCTGAGCTGATGACAGCCGATGCTCTTGCTGGCAGCACGTTCAAAACACATGCCTGCTCGAGGATCTTGGCCAACCAGATCCTCCCCACGCGTATCACCCCTGGGCTTCCTGCCCCGGAACTGCCGAACCCGAGGAAGAAGAAGAACAGATCCCCTGCCGATGCAAGGAACAAGAGGGTCTGCTCGATATCACCTCGACAACAGACCTTGCTGAACTCGTTCAGAATCGCAGTCACTCCCCTGGGAGGATCATCTTCCAGCCCGGCGACCGATTAGAGCGTGGACGGTTTGACAGGGGACCTTGACCCCTTCCTCCCTCTTGGCAGCCCCCTCTGCCGCCAACCCCCTGGCCGCCCTGTCCTCGACCACCAGAGGCTCGACCCTCTTGGCCCCACCCTCTCCCTCTTCCTTGCGGCCTCTATCCGGAGGCAACAACGACGTAGGTCCTCCCCTGACCCATACCACTGTCCTCCTCCTCGAGGCCCCACTCAATTTGTAGGGGACACCCTCATCTAACGTGAGAATAAGGCTATCTTTAGCCTTCACTTGACTGGTGATGGTCCGACCTTTCCACGTTTTGCCTTTGTCGAGGTCCTTGTGCCAAAAAGCGGTAACTGGCATGGACTGGCCCTCGTACGCAACAACCTCTCTACGAAGTGTATCGTAAGTTATATTGATTGGGCTGCTGCTTTTTGTCAAAGAAATGCCTGTGCAGCGCCTCATGCATGGCGCAATATAAAAGATGGACTAGTTGGAGCTCAGTAACCCCATGGCCTGGGACAGCGACGAGTTCATCCATGGCGGCCTTGAGTGCTCTTGCACACCATTGTCGTAAATGGATTGTTTGCAGTTTGTCTGAGGCTCTAAGGCCCCTAGTGACATCTGCAAATCAGTCCCGGAGGAGAGTCAGGAATTCGTTCAGGTGAGTAAGGGAGGAGTATGTGACCATATCATTCCCACAGTTGGCGACACGCGCAAGCGACCTGGCAAAGCTGGCCGCTTCATCCTTCAACGCCTGGAATGCCACCAGAACTTGAATGCCACCAGAACTTGCTTCTCGGACTGGGTAAGTTGGAGGTCGATGTAGGAGTTGATATTGGCTTCCCAAATATCAAAATCCTCTCCTTTCTTTCCTCCATAAGGCTCAGGGAATCTAGCTTTAATGCGCACACGACTGGGCCATGCCTCTTCCTCCTTCGAGGCAACTCACTCGACACCTTCAATGGCACCGACACAAAACCTCTCAGTGACTTCCATAGCAACATGCAACTGAGTACCCACGCGCATCATCATATCCCTTGCAAAATCTTTCAAGCTTGTGCGTATGGATTGCAATGCAATATCGTGGCCCCTTAAAATAACGCGGCTGTTCCTGTTGGGCCCTTAGTACTATTTCCATATTTTGGGATAAGATCTGGATTTGCTTTTGGAGGTCTTCCTGCGCTGCCAACTGCCCTCTTTGCTCTTCAGTGGCCCTCAAGTCTTTCTCCATCGTCTCGGCCGCCACCAATAGCCTCCTCCTTTCTGTAGTAAGGCGCAACTTCCATTCCAACTTTTTCTACTCCTCCATAGTTTGTTGCTGCAGGGGTTTTTCTCCACTTCCAACTCCCTTGCGAACGCATCCCTCTCTGTCTGAGGGACAAGCAAGGATGCTTCCTCTTCCTCCCCCAGGGACAGATTGGCCACCCTCCGTTTTCGCCCTTATCTTTGGCGCCACACTGGGTTCCCCTCTTTCTTCACTTCTTACGTTTCTCTGCAGGGGAACCTCTACTTCCTCTTCTTTCTCTCCCTTCTCTGCTTCCACGTCTATCGCCGCCACTTTCCCCTCCTGCTCCTTTTCCCATTTCTCCATCTCCTCCTCCATCCGTCTTTGCTTGACCTTCTGCTCTTCTATCAAGGCCAGCAGGCATTTCTTCTCCATCTTCTCTTTTCTCTCTTCCAGCAGGGCGACAGCTTGCTCTTCTTGCTCTCTACTATACGGGATGGTACTTGTTCCTCCTCGCATGGTCACCATGGTGCAACATGCACAACCTGTGAGAGTTCCACTCCTCACCACTTAAAGACTTTTCACCCACTGACTGACTGACTCTCTAAGGACCACAAAATCCTCTCGGATCTTGTCGACTAGGATCTCTAGCCTGGACCTACTTCTAGGCTGTCACTACAGAACTTTGTTGCTGATCAGGAGGCATTTAAGGAGATCCCCCATAACTCCTCAAGAATTCTTCAACGTCGCACTTAGGACAACGTGATCAGCAGAGCTCTCTCAAGACTTAGACATCTCGTTGTGCAGCCCACAACTCGGATTTTGGGCCTACCTTGCCACACTGAGCAGCCCGTCGGTCGGTACCGGTCCTTGGGAGGGTAAGGCCTCCAAGACGTGTAAATCGTCAGACATCGACTTAAGCCCTACTCAGACCGTGTAGGTTTGGTCATCGCAACTCTATGACTACATGTGCGGAGTCCTATCACCTACACAGAAGTGACTCAATGCAGAAAGAAGAGACAGACAGACTCAGCAAGTACCAAGGGGTAAGTGCATATCTATAGGGCGAGGGGGTAGGTTGACGGCTTGGCGAGATTATACCGACTCCAGCTTGGTCAAAATCATG